AAAAACGAGATTGTCAAGTTAAACACTGGTGATTTAATTTCATACCACAGAATTTAGTCACAGCCCATTCCAAGGTAGAAGAAGCATACAAATCATCCAAGTACAAAACTAGGTAGGTTAGCAAGTGGAGGACTACATCAATGACGGTCTGCCTACATAATGGCTTCGTGTTGGTCAAAACTAAGCCTTATATTATTGGCTTCATGTGCCACAGTTGCGAAAATCAACATCTACTTTCAGCCTTACCAGGACCAGTGAAAGTATCTACTATACGTGGAGCTACTTTGCCAATATGAACCCTTGACTTCTCCCTCCTATAGTTACCAACTTTAGAGAATGACAAGGTTAGAATATTTTTTCCTTTCTATTTTAACATGTTAGATTTTTATAACACTCAAATCATTGTATTGTCTGTGGCTACCAGGAACTTAGATCACTGGTTTACACTGGTGTGCTGCAAGAATTCTTTTAAAACACGCAGTACTGCCCTAGTCGGTTTGGCTCAGTGGCTAGAGCGTTGGCTGCAGACTGAAGGGTCTTGGGTTTGCTTCTGGTCAAGAGCGTGCACTTCTGTTGCAGGCTCAATCCCTGGCCCCTGTTGGAGTACATGCGGAAGCAACCAATCGATGTGTCTCTCTCACATCAGTGTTTCTTTTTCTCTGTCTCTCCCCCTCCTTTTCACTCTCTCTAAAACAAATCAGTGAAAAATATCATCGGGTAAGGGTTAACAACAACAACAAATATGCAAGACCTGACCTCTTCCCCCCTCCTTTTTTTAATTAAAAAAAAAAAAAAGACAACAGCCAACATAACGATAGCTGTCCAGTGAGAATGATTCAAAATTATACCGTCATGTTTTTGTTTTGTTTTTTGTCAGATCGGCAAAAAATATATTTTTTGCTGTGCCCCAGAATTTGAGTAGTTAGTTTGTGTGCCATGAGATGAAAAAGGTGGGAAATGGCTGACTCAGGTTGTGAGACAGCGGAGACTAACGGCACATTTCAGTTCCTCCGTGTACCAGCTGTCTGACCTTGGGTAAGCTATGGAGCTTCTGTGCTCTGGTATCTCATCTGTGAGCTGGGATTGGGTAATTAATAATAGTAACTGCCGCATAGAATTGTTAAGGTACATGAACTAGTTCATTCATGGTTAGCACTTTTCTGGAACATTGGAAATGGTCGGTAAATACTAGCTGTTATGATGATCATGGAATACCAAATAGCTTGAGCCACCTGTATGCCATCATTTTTTTCTTCTTCTTCTTGATAAGGAGCATGTTCACTGGAATTTCATCATAAAGACAACGATGGAGGTAGATTTCAATGGGATCTAGAAGGTTAGGTTATGTAAACATTGGACCTCCCAGATGGAGGAAACCGTGAGCGTGAACTCTGAGGGGAGGAACCTGGGATTGGCCCAGGAAAGGCGAGGAACTCAGGTGAACTGCAGTGTCCTGTGCTCCATGGGGAGCCGTGGGCGATCCAGTAGGAATCGAGGTTTGGGGTTAGACCAGGGAGGTCCTGAGATGGCCGGCCGGGGTTTGGGACTGTGGGCCTTTGAGTGCTGAGGTCCCTTTGCCGGCGAGGCACGGAGGGGATTAGAGGGAACAGGATCTGGGCCAGGAGACAGCTGGGAGGCTGTTGGATTAGTAGGACGAGAGAAGAGGATGTGCATTGCTGCCACTTGGGAATGAATACCCGGGGTAGGTGGGTCTCAAGCATAGATAAATGCCACTAACAGACACAGGGAACTCTGGCGTAGGGGTGGTGTAGGATGGAGGAATAGGATTTCAGTTTGGAGAAAATCAATTTGAGGGACAGATAGGACAACCCAAGAAAAACACCCCTTCATAGAAATTCAGAACTGGCCGAAGCCGGTTTGGCTCAGTGGTAGAGTGTAGGTCTGAAAGATCCCAGGTTCTATTCCGGTCAGGGGCATGGACGTTGGTTGCGGGCACATTCCTGGTGGGGGTGTGCAGGAGGTGGCTGGTCGATGTTTCTCTCTCATCAACGTTTCTGGGTCTCTATCTCTCTCCCTTCCTCTCTGTAAAAAATCAATAAAATATATTAAAAAAAGAAAGAAAAGGAATTCAGAACTGAATGCAGGCAGAGAGATCAGTGTCGGAGATCAAGTGCCCCCGTTCTGAGAGTGGTAAAGACAGAGAGGAGGAGATTGCCTGAAGGGGCCCCACATTCTTTGGGCAGAAGCAGCTGAGGCAGGAAGCAGGAAGCCCTGGAGTGCAGGGTTTGATGCCGCTGCTCGGTGTGAGTTACACCTCTCCTCACATTTCCCACGTGCCTTCCAGTTTTTCCAGTCTGTTCACGGATCCAAAGAGAAATGCTGGTTTCCCTTTTCTCCATCACATGCTGATGGGCAGTAACTCCCAGGATTCCTTTCATACTGGGCAGAGAATTGGGCTCAGATTATGGAATTTTAAAACGGCCCTATACCATTTACATATTTTTTTGTTACAACGTTAGAAGACGGAGACTGAAGACATACCTTCAAATTAAAATAAAAAATATTTTTTTTCAGGACCAAACTGTTTTATAACCCTTCATTTTGTGTGCGGTTTTTCTATGGGTATAAAAATACTCAGTGGATGTGGGGGTGGTTTCTCGTGTTTTGGAAATGGTGAGAATATGAGATGCCGAGCGTTGGGTCCTGGGACGAGAGCTATAATTACTGATTCTTTACCAGGACTGGCTCCTGGGTGGATATCTGAGATTAAAAACCCAACACTCCAGAATCCCGAGCAGGGAGCCACTCCCCCTCCCCATCCCTGGAAATTAAAAGTGTGATGGAGAGGAGAGGGGAGGTAGGATGATGGCTCTTCTGGGCCTTGTCTTCTCTTGTGCCATTTGCTGAGGGTCCAATTCAGGGATGTGACTGAAATGCAGGCTGGTGTGGCCTCTCCTAGCCTGACACACAGCAGCAGCTGCACAGCTGCGATGGAAAGATATCTAAATATAACCCAGACTCGTTCAAACCCTCCTCCCCCAGCCTTGGCGGATGTGGTCCACGCCCTAAAAATACCTGCTGTCTGAGTCTTGAGGTATCTGAAGAGGAAGGCATGGGTGAGAGAGTAGAATTAGGGCCGTGTGGTATGTGGGGGGTGGGGGGGACGGGCCAGCTACCGGGCCTGCTGCCCACGAGAGCCTGCTCTGGAAGCTGTTGGTGAGCTGCCCACCGTGCCATCCTGTTCAAGGATAAGTGCCCACTCTTGAGCCTCGTATTCACTGTTGGCAGGTTTCAAGGAAACTATTCATAGACGGAGCATCTGTTCTCTGTCCCATTGACCTCAAGCCTGCAGCTGCCACCATGGTATTCAGGCAGCGTGATGGCTTTCAGTTTTGTTCGGAGAATCAGGATTCTAGAGCTGGCAAGGACCTTGGACATTATAGCGTTCAGACAACAGTCCCTTAAAACCACTTGGTCCAGGGAATCACATTTCTCTGCCTCTGTAGTGACCCTGGCGATTTGGACTTGGAGTCTCTGTCCCAGATTACTTAAAGAGATCCCTCCCATCATTATCTAACACAAATAGGCATAAAGGAAACCTGCGTTTTGTTTTTTAAAAATGTTGACTAAGTGACCCTGGCCAATGCCTTTTTAAAAAAATTATTATTAAACTGTAAATTGGGAGCTCTTTTTCTTATCCAAATTTTAGCATTTTGAATCTAAAGTTCATGGGCAACATAACCAGAACACCAGGAGTTGTGTTTTCAAGAAGGCTTTCAGTGTCTAGTTTCTGGAATTCCAAGATTGTGGTATTATAACTGAAGGACTGTTGCTGACCTCTGCTTTCCTGGGAAGGAAAGGTTTCACAGGTCATCTCTAACATCCTTGGGATGCCTTCCAAGTCATGGAGGCAGTAGACATCCTATCTAATAAAAGAGTAATATGCAAATTGACCATCACTCCAACATACAAGATGGCTGCCCCCATGTGGTTAAAGATGGCCACCACAAGATTGCCAGCAGGGGAGGGCAGTTGTGGGTGATCAGGCTTGCAAGGGAGGGCAGTTGGGAGGGGAATAGGCCAGCAGGGGAGGGCAGTTAGGGGTGACCAGGCTGGCAGGCAGACATGGTTAGGGGTAATCAGGCAGGCAAGTGAGCGGTTGGGAGCCAGCAGTCCTGGATTATGAGAGATGTTCAGCTGCCCATTTAGGGATCAGGCCTAAATGGGCAGTCAGACATCCCTCGAGGGGTCTCAGATTGGAGAGGGTACAGGCTGGGCTAAAGGACGCTTCACCCCACCCCCATCCCCTGCACGAATTTCGTGCACTGGGCCTCTAGTCTATATAGAAAAGCCTAAGTGACCGTTCAGCCAGTAGCTATGACCCACTGACCACCAAGGGGAAGACACTCAGTGCACAGCCATGGAAACATGGAAGAGACTGATAAATCTCAGAGGGAAGCGGATACAAGGGAGGGCATGAAGAGATTAGCCAAATATCTTATTTGCATACTGGAGGCCTGGTGTATGGATTCGTGCACCGGTGGGGTCCCTTTGCGGATTGGGGTCCCAGATTGCCAGAGGGATGCAGGAAGCTTCTCTGCTGTGAGCTTGTCAGAGCTCCTTCGCTGTATCTGGAGAGAGTGTCACTTAGTTTTTACTGTGGGCTGGAAGTCATTTGAAAATTTTTCTTGAGTGTTCAAAGCTCCCAAAATGGTTGGAGGTGTTTTTTTTTTTTTTATGTCTTTTACTAAGTATCTGAAATAGTCACCTCCAGAAGCTCCGTTTTCCCTGGACCCGTGCACATGTGGCAGGGAGTGAGGTGTGCTGGAGACCATCCACCTGGATGTGATTTTGTGGAAAGAGCGTGGCTTTGAGTTGTTGGACCTTTAGTTGTGTAGAAGCCAAGAAGGGTGTGGGGAGAGAGGCACGCTCCTCCGGGCACGCCCGGAAGGAAGGGAGGGAGAGGGTGCTGTCCGTGCGCGCGGTGCCCAGGCGGTGCCGTTCGTGGGCTCTCAAACATGTCCCCTCTGTGATTCCAGAACGAAGAGCTCCGGAACCTGTCCCTCTCCGGCCATGTTGGGTTTGACAGTCTTCCTGACCAGCTGGTCAACAAGTCCACTTCCCAAGGCTTCTGCTTCAACATCCTGTGTGTTGGTAAGTGACTCACCACCTGCCGCCGGGCACGGAGGCTGACCTTCGGCTGGCAGGTGCCTGGGAGAGGGACTCGTTTCAGGAAATGAGCAGGATGGCATTTTCACTTTTTTTTTTTTTTTCATTAGAAAAGCAGGACAATAATACCCACTGTCTATCGATATGTTCCCACCGTTACCAAGATTCTTGTAGGTGGGTACATGCTTTGTGGTGTTACTCAAGTTATTTTCATTTAGTGGTCAGTTTAATATGTTATTAAGTCATTTATTTTCACGTTTGATAGGGGGAGGGACTTAGACCATAACTAGTCACTAGTTAAAAGCAGGAACTGAGATGTACATACACAGTAAGACCACTCAGAAGGCTCTGAAGCATGTGTTTCTAGGGTCTTTCATTGCAGGGCACCAGTAACCTTCATTAGGGGTTTTTCTTTCTTTTTTTTTTTTTTTTTAAAGGGTACGGCATCTGCCCTAGGATAGAGGGTCCCATCAGGATTCTGGGAATATCTTTTTTTTTTTTTTTTTTTTATATATTTTATTGATTTTTAACAGAGAGAAAGGGAGAGAGATAGAGAGCTAGAAACATCGATGAGAGAGAAGCATCGACCAGCTGCCTCTTGCACACCCCCTACCGGGGATGTGCCTGCAACCAAGGTACATGTCCTTGACCGGAATCGAACCTGGGACCTTTCAGTCTGCAGACTGACGCTCTATCACTGAGCCAAACCGGCTTCGGCATTAGGGGTTTCTTAAAAGATATTCTACTGACGGTAAGTAACATCTAAAACCACTCTAACTACTTTCATAAACGTACCGCCTTTAAAATGTTTGCTTTGAGCACAAAAGCCAATTTCAAATTCTGTCTTATATTTGAAATAAACTTTCTGACCAGTGGTCGCATTCACCTTCCATCCATAGTTGGAATCTAAAATTGACCTACATTTATTCCTGTTGGACAAATGGCCAGGGTCAGAGAGATCTGGCTTACTTGTATCCTCAGTACATTTTCTTCATACCCTTTGAACGTCACACGTCAGCCTAGGTCGCTGGCTGTGGTATTTTTCTTCGTCTCTCTAGTCAGATCCCTTTTACACTGAGAGGAGGAAGGTAGAAAAGAAGGTGGGGAGAGGGGGAGACAGAAATACCTCCTCCTGTTGGTTTGAAGCAGAAATGCACCTGGGACAGATGATGGCCTTGGACAGGCTGCTCCAGACGAAGGAGTGGCCCGGCGGAGCCGCAGGGCGGTGGTTTGGGCGGCATTGGTGTGTTGCCATTGTCCTCTGGGCACAGATCCCCAAGACTCCACTCCGAGGCAGAACAACAGGAATTCTGTGTTTCTGTAGAGCCCAGTGGACCCGGGCTTGGCAGAATGTACCAGACTCACTTCCCTTATCCACATAAAGGGAAATGAATTTAGAAAAGGTGTGCACTCCGTGTAAAACCACCATTTTAAAAAGTATATACTTTATAGATTTTTTTACAGAGAGGAAGAGAGAGGGATAGAGAGTTAGAAACATTGATGAGAGAGAGACATTGATTAGCTGATTCCTGCACACCTCCTACTGGGGATGTGCCCACAACCGAGGTACATGCCCTTGACCGGAATCAAACCTGGGACCCTTCAGTCTGCAGGTCGACGCTCTATCCACTGAGCCAAACCAGCTAGGGCCCACCATTTTTATTATATATATATATATATATTATTGATTTTGTACAGAGAGGAAGGGAGAGAGATAGAGAGTTAGAAACATCAATGAGAGAGAGCCATTGAACAGCTGCCTCTTGCGAACACACCCTACTGGGGATGTGCCCGCAACCAAGGTACATGCCCTTGACCGGAATCGAACCTTGGACCTTTCAGTCCCCAAGCCGACTCTCTATCCATTGAGCCAAACCGGTTTCGGTGGGCCCACCATTTTTAAATGATACCCATTGGGGTGGGGGGGGGGCAGGTGTTTCCCTGTTTGGAAGTATCCTGACATGTTGCATGCGGCCGCTGCACTGGGTGCTCGTCAGCAGAAAGCCACCGCGGATTGGCACGGGACCGGCTCGCTCTCTGGCGGGCAGTCCTTGGACTGCGTGAGAGGAAGACAGGACCAGGCAGCCCGCCCTCCGGCTTGCCTTCTCCTTGTCCCCACGTGAAGTGGAGCCATTTAAAATTCAGCAGGGCGCCTCCTGAGTGGCAGCTAGCTCTGCAACGTGGCATAAATGAATTGCCTTTTCTCTTACAGTAAATGCTGCTTGCAGAGCCTGCCATTCCTCATTAGCATAGCAATTTGTTGGCAATTTGTTGATTTTTCTTTTTCTTTTTTCCCCCCCTATTGAAAAGTGGGCTAAATTGTAGGCTGATTACTATTCTGGCTTCTCTCCCCTGCCTCCCCAGCCTTGTCTTCAACATCAGCTTCACAAACACATGGGAGAGTTGTGTCCCAGCTCCTGCAGGTTGGGAAATTTCCCAGGGGCACTGGGCTTGCTGGGCGGACCTGGTTGGACAGGGTGCATGGTGTGAGGTGGGGGTGCTGGCTCCTGGGCTGACCCCTCGTGTTAAATGAATAGCACCGTTACAGTGCTGGCCAGCATTCCTCCCAAGCCACGTCCATGCTGCCCTGTTGGGTCTGCAGAGCAGCTACTATTTTAACTCGCCTGGGTGGATGACAATACCTATGATTCCTAGATTATTTTTTAGATTCTGGTTCTATGCTTAGACATGTTTAAAATTGGTTTTTCAAACAAACAAAAATAGTTCATCCTTTCTGTTTAAAAAAACAATCCCCCTCTTCCCCTTTTGTATTTCATCCTCATTTCCATTCCACAGAATTAACACTGATATTCTTCTAGAAACTTTACTTCTTTCTGGACTTGGAAATTATTTTTGGAGGCTTAGAACAACATCAGTTTATTACTATCAGTATTACCCTGTGGTTCTCTAGAAGTTCAGCATGTGTGCCCCCGGGCTCCATTCGAGGCATCAGCAGGACCACGGTCTTTTCCGAACCTCTGGGACAGCGGTCGCTAACCAGTGGTCTACAGATCTCTGGTGATCCATGAGGTCCGAAAGGTTTGCGACCACTGCTCTAGGGGAGACCTCATGTCCTTGCTTTTCTAGCTTCTAATGGCTCTTGGACCCTCCATTTTCAAAGCCAGCAGCATTGCACTCCTCTCTCCCTCACTCTAGTAGTAGGAAAATTTCCATAGAGAATTGCTAAAATCCGGTTTACACTCCGTTGAGACTCTTCCTCAACCCCGAACACCGAAAAGGCCATACATATATTGAATGGTGGCCTGAGTCCTCAGGGAGGGAGCTGGGGGGAGCCCAGCGCCAAACACAAGAGATTTCGATGGGAAAGGAGACTTGGTCAGAAGGCAGACGGGCATGAGAGAGAACATATACAGCGGCTCTTTCACAGTTATACTAGAACTTCTTAATTTTGGTTTTAGAGATCATATGCTTCTGTGTTTTGATATATATAAAATTGATTTCAGAGGGGATGGAGAGAGATAGACACATCAATGATGAGAATCATTGATCAGCTACCTTCTGCACGACCCACACTGGGGATTGAGCCTGCAACCTGGGCATGTGCCCTGAGCTGGAATGGAACCCTGACCTCCAGGTTATAGGTTGATGCTCAACCACGACCCCACATTGGCCGGGCTGTGTTTTTTTCTCTCTCTCCACAGTAGGTCCTGGCTGTCCTTCCAGTATCTCAAGCCCACAGATTCTTTTCCATGACTCTTTGGCGCCCTGTGGTGAAAGCCAACGTTCGCTCTTTGGGACACGGGGGTGTCGGCATTAATATTAAGCATATTTATCCTCAGAGAGGGGAGTGCATCAAATCTTCTTACCATAAATATTTTACAGCAAAATATCTGTAGAAGAAAACAATTTTCTCTGTCAATCAATGGTCCCATCTATTTTTAAAGTAAGAGTCTGTGAGAAAAAGGGTTCTAGCTTTTGACAGCCCTCGGGGGAATAGGTGTCCTATTTAGCTTCAGAGCATCCATGGTACTTTCTTTTCGCCTTGTCATCCCACTGTCTGTCTGTTATTTTTTATACAGTATGTGTGTGTTCGCTGTTTATAGCATCATTAAGTTATTTTCACGTGATAAGTATGGAAGGGAATTGAGAATTTTTTTAAAAAAGTTAGGAGCCTAGGAAGGAAACTGATGATGATTCTCAGAATTCATTTTGTGGCAAGGTACCGTGGGTCTCAGACAGAGGAAATGATCCCGGGCAGAGACTAACCCTGGCATGCGCTTAGTCTAGTTTTAGAGGCACTGAATTAAAGGTCTGTTGTCAGCATCTGTCTCTCTCGAGCTCTGGAAAGAAACGTAACCAAGAGTGAGAGAGTAGTGTGCACTTCACCGGGAAGAGAACTCTTGAAGCTGAACTGGGTACCAGAGCACCCGGGAGTTCATGGTTCCCTCACTCTCCATCTTGCTGGAAACACACCGAGACACCCCAAAGCTGCACGCTGGTTTAAATAAAGCCCTTTCTGTCTTACCCATGCTGTATTACTCCGGAGAATCTAAATTAGTCACCATTTACAATTTAAATATCTTTCTCGTTCATTTTCCAAAATGACTCTAGCGAAACGCCAGCATTGATGCAGCCGTATGTGGGGTCTCTGTGCACAGGCAGACATGGAGAAAACACGGCAATGCCCCAGCTTTGGGAGGGGAACCAGCTCAATAGCAGGGCCAAAGTAAATTAATGGTGCATTTTGAAAATAGATATTTTTAAAGTAAGTCAACAATTATTGGTTTGAGGGAATGACAAAAGAGGAGTAGAAAACTGACCAGTTTAAGATTATTTTAGCCAAGGCTATAGTTGTCAACATAAACTGTAGGATTTTACAATCAAATCGTGAAATTTTTTAAATCTCCCTTCTTATATCCAGGAAGGCATATAAAGTGGTTGACAGGGTGAAATGAGTGAGTAAATGAATAGATACAATTAACCCGCCAAAGGTAAACGAAGTCAGAGATGGGGTCGGAACTCAG